CCCGTCGCATGCCCCGCGCGGATCGCGCAACGGATGGCAAAAATCCAAGTGCCCCGATCACAATACTGCTAGGTGCTGTCCAATCCCACCGCCATTACTGCTTGATTGTGATGGTTGATTAACGTCTGTTCATAATCCTACTTATTTCATATCCAGTGTTTCAAATCTTCAAATGCGGCACCTGCGATTTCTGCGATTTCGCGATAATCGCGCGACGGATCGCGGACTATGGCACCAGCCTCAGTCACGTTTTGCGTCACGAAATGCGGTGAAAACGACATCTAACAAAAGCGGAACAAACGGACCCAACCCACGAGTTTTCCATTAGCATATTTTCAGTTGTTACTAAAAAGAGTTCTCCTCTTAATAATTATTTCCTCTCTTAATAGTTATTTCTACTTACTTTTACCCGTTTTCTTTTGCTGATATTGTCCATATTGAACAAGCGTTCCCCTTGTTACAGATGCTCATGTAATAAAAAAATCAAGTCAATAAGGTTATATAATATTTATTGATTAAAGCGGGGGGTGCAAATATAGTACAGCGAAATTGTGATACCGTAACAAAATAGCGCACTCAATTCACTCAGAAAAGAAGTCTTACTCAATTTTTGTTCAATACTGATTTTGTACTTTCAAAACAATCGAAACCAGTGATTTACAAGTTATACAATGCGGTTAGGTCAGACATTCCGATGCAACTCACTGGCTTCGCCTGAAAACAACAAGGAACGGTTTGAGATACGAGTGTGGGATCAACTGCTCACATTATGCTAACGAGAACAAATCAAAGTGTACAACAATTCGGAGATGTGTTGGCCTTTAGTCAACGATGTATTCCCGTTCTTCGTCCAGAAACTCGATTTCCAGGTTCACCGCACCGAATATCCATCGTTTTTCGGGGTACCATACCGTCAGTGATGTACTTGTCCGGCAGAGAGAACTTCACTTTTCGACTTCCCGGCTGGAACGACATCAAATTTTAACCTGTCCTTCACATCGGAAAGAATCAGTGCTAGGAGAAGAAAGCACGCGTTTCATTTTTGCAGGTACCCGACAGGAGGCCCGTCGCGCGGCGAGAAGGCAAAGACGTGGACGAGTCGCAGTGCGTGCTGTGTGGTGTGATGTACTATAATACATGCCACTCTTGGCGAGCAATTGCTGCAGTACGCGCTGCGACTCGTCCGCGTCTCTGCCTTCTCACAGATTTCTTGTCGGGTACCCATTTTTGCACAACCGTGGAACTCTTCCTTGCAATTTCCCAAGCTTCCCACATCCTTTGGGACCTTGCGCTGAAAGGCTTTGAATAGCTTGGGAAATGAAAAGGAGGCGCAACCTATTTGGCCTTGTTAGGGTCTGACTCAGCGAACGCGACTACTCGGGACCAACGCTAGGAAGAAGAAAAAGAATTGGGGCTGGCTGCAAGAACATAATCTTACCTTAGGAACACTGAGGAATCCTGTGACGTCATTACAATCATGATAGATTTTCAGGATGGGG